TTACAGCCAACTTATCACATTCTTATTAATAAATATTATGATAGTATATTTTGTTATTAAAAGTGAAATTTAGAAACTAGATACCTATGTAATTTTGAGCGAATCACAATATTCGTAACTATAATTAATCATTATCCGTATAATTGTCATTTTAAATGTAATTTCCTTTCATTAGTCAACTTGAGGACAGCAATGGAGTGTGTAATCCTTGCGGTGGGTTCGATTTATGTGATAGTCACTTATGTCCACTAGCATTAAGTTGATATTTGCTTGCAAAGTTTACGATCTATTACCACCTGCGTACTCGGCTGCTAATGACGCCGATAATTGTCGGCAACGACCTAACACGTTCTCAAAGTTCGAACAAGTGCCGGCCGTTCGTTGCGTAGGCAAGCAATACGCGGGATCAAGGCCATGTCGCCCACTGTACTGACATAATTAGAAGTGGATTCTAGTTTCGCGATTTCATGCCAGTTAGATGATAATTGTTTAAATGGGCTTGAAGTAGCATAATGGCTCAGTTCCAGAACGATCAAATTGCTAATGGCAGGTAGCTTAGTATGCTTGCCTTGTAAGTTGCCATTGCTATTTTTCAACAACATAGTTTTTTTTTTGCTACGAATTATTATATGCTTTAAAGATGACTAACACCCGTATTCACAAACAATACTTGGCTGTGCGTACTACTAACACTGTGCAAAGAACAACATTTCTCAGTGCGTTCGTTTTGGCAAGCCTTCTGATTCATAAACGACACTTAAGTAACACCTCGTTGAGGGAACGCACTGCGTTAGATATCGCTCGGTGATTGGTCCATTTGTGTTGCAAAATTCACTACATAGCTTGTCAGAAAAAATGTTGACATTAATAACAATATAATAACCTCAAAGCAAGTTTGTTTTGCAAAAGAAATCAACCAACATAACGTTTAGACATTATTTTGCTTGGATACGTCTTAATTATTTTGTACGTTGTACGGTTGTTGCCGTTGCCATGTGGTAAGTGAAATTTTAGATACATTATTTTACGATCATCGTTGTTTTCTGTTGATTACGAATACAATTTGTCAATGAGTATTTTGTTTTTTTTTTATTATTATTATTTCTATAGTAATATGGCATTTAATCTGATACCGTATTTTAATCTAGTTCGAAGAAAATACCATTTACTTCATCGGAGAGGGAATTAATAATAGCATTAGTTAGAGAGCGGCCAATAATCGAAGACAAAAGAACATGTTCAAAAAATATTGTATTAAAGAAAGAAGCTTGGGAGGAATTGACTGTAGCATACAATTCCCACGAATATGTTTCCCAAAGAAATAGTATACAGCTTAAGAGATGCTGGGAGAACATAAAAAGCCAGAGAAAAAAAGAGCTCAGCTTAGAAGCAGCGAGTTTGAGATGTACTGGTGGGGGCCCACCTGACGCAGGAAGCACTATATCAGATCACATTGTCGACCTCGTTTGTCCTTCAATTAATTTAAAAGTTCCGGGTGTAATCGATTCTAATACTATTGAATGTAAGTATTACATTTTATAGTTTAGAAACTTGACAGAGAATTCATTCATTCATGTCATCAAATAGTTTTTTTCATTTTTGTTTTTTTTTTAGTACCAACCACCAACTTGGTGGAAAAACAATGTTTACCAAAACATACCACAGATCTAAGGAAACAGAGATCTGAATATGGTATGTAATCTTACTTCTTACTAATATTATAAATGCGAAAGTTTAGATGGATGGATGGATGGATGGATGGATAGATGGATGTTTGTTAGCGTTTGTAGCCTAAACGGCTGAACGGAACTCCATGAAATTTGGCACAGGTTTAGAGCGTAGTCTGGAAGAACACATAATCTACTTTTTATCCCGGGATAAGTTACGGTTCCCGTGAGATTCATTAATTTAGTTTTTTAATGTTTACTCGATCATTCTGCAACGGTTCAACATATCTTATTGAAATTTGGCACAGATACAAAACAAAGTCTGGAGTACACATGGGATAAGCTTCATCCCAGAGAAATGTCCGGTTCCCGAGGGATACTGAGCTTTTTGTAATTTATATAGTTTGTATGTTTTCTAATACCACGCGTACGAAGTCGCGGGCAACAGCTCGTATTGTATAATTGGTTTATGAATGTTTTGTAAAAAATATTGCAAATTTGAATGCTTAATTTTTTTAGAACTAAAGTACAGAAATATATTATTACTTGTGTATATTTTTCAGATGTTTCCTTTTTAGATTTTAGTACTGGAAAATCTAAGGAAAATGTTCCCCCATTGTTAAAAAGAAATTTAGATGACATTGAGGCCCCCAGTACAAGTAATATCAGTAAAATTTGTTCAGACTAATGTTATTTTTTAAATCATTTGATTACTGGCTTTTGTAAAAGTAGTTTGAGTAGAAATCACCAACTGGTGTGGAATACTACACTTATTGGATAATAAATAGAGCATAAAGTTTTCTTTTATTTCAGGTAGTAAAATAACATGTACAGTATTATCTGGAGAATTTGGAGAATGTCATACTCCCCAAAAAAAAACCCCAAAGGACTTCAACACCCCCAAAGGTAAGTTTCTATATATAGTGCTAGTGTATATATGTATCCTACTTATAAAATTCGGTATATTATGTATCATGAAGTTGCTATTATAAATGGTTTTTTTATGTATTACAGGTAATAAAAACCTAATAAGGGAAACTCTGGCTCGGATTCATCGAACTGAATTGAATACCCAACATGACCAGGCTTTATTTGAATTGAGAATGGAAAGAGAAAAAGTTTTAATTCAAAGAGAAAAAAACATCCTGGAATATGAAAAACATGTCCACAAATTACAAATCGAAAAATTAGAATTAGAAATTGATATTTTAAAACAGAAAAATAATAAAAAAACCTAATAACATTAGAAGTTTTTTATTTGACTTTATTATACAATGTTACTTAAGAAGGAAGGTCAAAAAGTTCACTGAATAATGGGGAAGGAGTTGAAATTAAAGATGAAACTTGCTGGCTTCTTCCTGGTTCACTTGTTTACAGGTTGATAACTGAAAAGTTAATAACTTGATTTGGTGTGTAGACTTTCCTTTACTTCTGTGTAAATTACTATTTATACCTACTTTATTTAAGTATCCTAGAAATGACGTATTATGAACATCCTTCTAAATAAAAGTCCTGATGAAGATTCTTCTCTTCTTTGAGTTCCATGGTTTAGATGCTGGTAATTTCTTTCTTCGCCAATAATTTCAGGAATGCCATAGTGTCTTAAAATATTATAAAGTATAGCAGTAGCTACTATGATATGGCACGTAGTAGTTAAATTTGTTGCCATCTTCTTTGACAGACATGGAAAGATTCTTTTCCAGACCCCAATGGTTCTTTCCACTGTATTTCTTGTTTTGATGTGAGCTTTATTATAATTTTCCTCATGTATTGTCTCTGTCTGGAGCACTGGCGTTAACAAATATGTTTGGCAACTATAACCACTGTCACCTAGGAGTATTCCATCCAGAGTACCTTCCTCGAATTTTCTTTTAAGTAGAGAATCTTGAAAAATTCTGTTATCATGAACAGATCCAGGTCTATCAGCTACAATATCATAAATTTCTAAATAAGGCCCACATACTATTTGTGTGTTAATTGAGAAAAATTTTTTTCGATTTCTGTATACTTCTGCATGAGGTCCACCAGGATTTTGAATTGGTATGTGAGTGCCATCAACTGCACCAATAATTCCCGGAAAATGTGAAATACCATAAAATTGCTGTTTAATCATTTCTAAATTTGATGGGAATTTTATAAATTGTCTAATTTTGAAACAAATTAACCGAGAGACTTTCTTCACAATTCTTGACACTGTGGGTTGGCTCAGTTGTATAAGGTCTCCTGTAACCATCTGTAAGCCAAAGAGAAAAATTTCATTTATCAAAAGTTTTTTATGAATATAGACATATACTTTCCTATGTATACATATTTTTATTTATAATGTATTGTTTTGTTAACTGGGCTTTCCTCAACAGCAAGGTTCAAGTATATAGCAGGGATGTTGCGAATATTCGCATCCGCATCCGCATCCGCAGTAACAGAAGTTCCAATTTCATCATGCGGTACGATATTTATGTACATATCTGGGTAGACACCTACCTGAAAATTACCAGTAGCGTAGAATCTCAATGTTACTATCAGCTGATATATTGGGGGTACTGGTAAGCCTCTTCTAGTCAATAAATCACTATCTGTAACCATTGGCAGAATGACACTATGAACGATGTCTTTTGAAAATCTATATCGTCTTCGGAATTCCTCCGAGCTGTAGAAATCGAAAGGATTTTGAAAGTCCCGTATTACTTTTCTTGTTGTTATTGTTCTTTGTTCGACTAATCGATCGTGGATATAATTGTCAAACTCTTCTTCACTGCTATAATCCATTTTATTACGGCAGCGACACCTCGGTTTTCAATTTTGACAGCTTACCAAACAACACTATGCGTTGTCTAAAGTAGCTGCGAAGCTACTTTATCTGTGCGTTCATTTTAGGGAACCCATAGTGCGCTGTGGCACTTAAGTGTTGTTTGTGAATTGATTTTACCAGCCCTGTGCGCTCGAGCACACTATGAGACCTCACAGTGTCGTTTGTGAATACGGGCGTAAAAGTCTATATATGCTTAATCAGTGAAATATCACAAAAAAATACAATTCAAAAAATAATCCAAATGTAAACGATCTTTTCATGCCCGCAAACAATGAAGGACGCTGCAAAACGCAACCAATTGAAGTTAATTTCCAATTCGATGAGGTTTAATATTAAAACAGTTTACATATGAAGCCGGATATCGATGCGCCGCTCAACAATAGTGGTTAAAGCTCTTCGAGCCCGTGTGAACAATTTCGTACCAATTTAATTTACATAAATCGACGCACGCGACCTGATGCTCATCAAATTGTTAACATCGGTAAAAAAACTTGCATCTATTTGATAAAATTAAGGATTTTATATTATAGCTTTGTGCATATTTTGACTGTATGTGCAAATGATGACTATAATATTTTTGTACAAATGCATATTGCATTTATGATTTGTATCATGTCTAAAGAAACCCGTTAGTGAAGATTTACAATATTGTATAACTACGTATACAATCACAATACGCATAAAATGTCACTGAACATTTAATTACACAATAACACAAAGAGAGGTGACAGGCACTTCGATACAGTGATATTAATGTAACTGTAAATAAACTAATCATCATCATCATCATCACCAGCTCACTATATGTCCCCACCGAGGGGCTCGGAGCCTACCCTAATGTAATATAATAATATAAAACTAATAGATTACATTTATTTCATGAGCCTTCTTAACAGCTAAATGAATTTTGATTGTCACGTAACAACTCAACGGCCTAAACGAGCCTATCCGGAACAAGTATAAGCGAAAAGAGTGGTGTTGGCCCACATTTCTCACGACAATAATATTAAATTGGTTTATCAATCAGTGCGGGACGGATGCGGCG